ATGAGCAAAAAGTCTGCCAGGGTATCATTCAGCTGATAGCAGAGAACCTGATGAGTTAGTTCACCTCTGAGAAGACAAAGAACTTAATTTTGACAGGGAAGCAAGAAGTAGCTAATGAAATGATCTTGCTTCTTTGGCTTGTGTAATAGCCAAGGAGAGAAATCCTTGTCTGTGGTCCAAAACAATGGATGTCATCCTCAGCTCCTCCCTCTCACACCCTCATCCAGGGCCACAGAGGATAGCTGGGCATGTCCAACCCCAGCCCCACTATCTGTTCATAGGGTTGCCCTTTTCTAATGTGCGTAAAGACCCTGCACAGGCCACTTGGGACGTGCCCACACCAGTCAGTCAACCAGTCCTGGAGGAACCTCCTCCTCAAAATCTCTCCATGCCCTGGCCTCTCCATTCCTACTCCCGCTGTCTCATACATCATTATTCCTTACGTGGAAGACAGAGGTTTTCTCGCCTCTGCTCTTACTTATCACACCAACACCATGGGATGAAGAGAACAGTCACACCACTGCCCTTCTTAAAACCCTTTACCTTCAAAGTAAAACTCATAGAAGTTGGGCACCTAAGGCACATAATAAGGCTCCTGCCCTCCTTCCTTGCCTCAGCTCCTACTCTGTTGCCTAGTTGCAATCGCAAGTTACACCTCTATGCCTCTGCTCTGCTTTCCCATCCATCTGGAAGGTCTTTCCCAACATTCTCCATTCTCCTTCTTACCCAGACAATGCCTTGTACTCCCAGATTGAATATCAGCTCCTCCTGGAAGGATTCCCAGGCTTCCCTACTTCCCACTGAAGTCAACGCTTCTGTCCTTCACGTGCTCCTTTGGAATGTGCGTCATCCCACGTGGCCGGTGTTTCCCGACCCTCTCACTCACCTCACTGCAAGCTCCAGAAAGGAAAGACTCTCTTCTACATCGCTGTAGCCGCCGTTCCTATCACAACGTAGAGCTCAGATTTTACAAAGATATGTGCAAAATATGAAAGGGGGAGCACAAACCCAAGAGAGCATTTTACAAAGTTTAGTGAGCCCATAAGAAATGTGCCAACGGGGCTGATCTAAATGAGGCAAGACTCAAGGAAAGTACTAAAGACGAGCAGAATTCTTCAAAGTTGCATCCTAAGCCTGGAGAGTAAAGGAAATACACTGCTTGGAGAAGATGAGGTAATGTTAACAAGCAAGTACAATAAGGCTGAGATTCTGTTAACAAAATCCAATCTTACTTTGATATTGTCCTGTAAAGGGAATGGCTTCAAATTGGGAAGGGAAGAGTGAAAAGAATTAGTTGCTGCTCAGCATAGTGAAAATGATAGCATGAGAAACTGTGAAAACGAGAAACGCAGTGTTTCTCAGCCTTGATTGCACATTGGGACACCTGAGGAGCTTAAAAACCCCCCAGTCCACACCCAAGACCAAGGCTTTCCTGCCTCCAGGCCAGCCCAGCTGACTTTGCGCTGCTGCCTGCCTAAGGTTGAACATGGACCTAGTCTCTCGTTTTTCCACCTTGAGTAACATAACAGGCATTTGATAGCTGTCAAATAAATAGCTTTCTCAGCGTCTTGGATACCTCTTTATTCCCGTTGTACACCTATTATTCTGGGCCCTCATTTCCAGCTTCCTTCACCAAGTCCTCTTCCTCTATCCTCTCCTTAAATGTTGTTTTTCCCCAAGGTTCTGTCCTTTATTTCATGCTCCATGCTGTCTTTGAGTCACTTCATCTACCATTGGTTAGGACAATTCCCTTGAAATCTGCAGGCCTGATTTCCCTCCTGAGCTGCCGACCTACAGGCTTTCCTGCCGACTGGACAACGACCTCTTGGAATCTTACAAGCACATTCAGGTCCACATGTTCACACTGAACTAATCATCTTTCCCCTAAACCCACTCCTTTCCTATTCCCCTTTCCCTGACACCAGCCTCTACCCAATCATACAATCCAAAAACCTGCTAGACTGTCACCCAACCTTAACCTGACAATTCTACCTCCTTAAAGCTCCCAGATCCGTCTCTCCAGTCCCTGTCCACCTCCATCATATCCTAGTTCAGGCTTTCACCATCTCTCATGTGGTCTAAGGCACACTCTCTGTATTACTCTCTCTGTCTCCCCTCTAGCACCCTTCCCATCCTTCTACAATACTGTCACCAGTATGAACTCCCCAAAATGGAAACTAGCTGAAACTATTTAGATCTTCTTTACCTTCAAAATAAATTTGAATTCTTTAGCGTGGCAAAGCGAGCCTGGTAATGGTACTGCCGGCTTCTGATAGGATTAGTTTGCCCTCCCCGAGCATGAGCTGGCATTTGTCCCGGCACCTGTGGCGTAGGCAGGTTATGTCTCCATTCTTCCGGGGAGGAGGGAGAGACCAAATATTGATTTATTCTAGAAACATTGTCCAATGCCCTGGCATTCTGACCTTTGCCCAGCATGATTTGTGAAGGAGGTCCCACCTGGATGTGCCTCCTATGAAGGTCTTGGGAACAGCAAATGAATTATTTGCCAGGGCAGAGACTAGAGTGAGGCAAGTGAGGAGTAAAATTTAAGAACACACACTCTCAGGGCCATGCAAGGGCCTCCTTGAATTTTGCATTGTGGGCACCTCACCTGCCTCACCCCTGTTTGGTGCATGTGTTTACCTTGCTTCCCATTTTATTAGTATAAACCATGAAAAGAAGCCTGGCCCTGGCTGGTTTGGCTCAGTGGTTAGAGTGTGGGCCTATGGACCAAAGAGTCCGGGGTTCATTTCCCACTAGGGCACATACCTTGGTTGCAGTTTTTCCCCGGCCCCTGTTGGGGTCGTGTGGGTGGCAACCAGTAGATGTGTCTCTCTCACATTGATGTTTCTCTCTCTCTTTTCCTCCCTCTCTCCCTCCCACTCTATCTGAAGATAAGTGCAAAAATGTCCTCAGGTGAAGATAAAAAAAAAAAGAAAGAAAAGAAGCCTGCATACAAATTACCACAGACTTATGAGTTTAGAGTCTGGATAAAATTAAGTGAGCCCTTGAAAAGTTTAGGCCACATAAAATGAAGACTTAACCTGGCTGGTGGGAGCATAAGTGGGGTCCATCATTCTGAGAAGCAGGTCTGCCAAATACCTGGAGCTTTAAATGTCCTCATGCCATTTGACCCAGTGTACTTCCGGGAGGCTGTCCTAACTCAATAATGGTGTATTCTTTTGTACAAAGATATCTTATAGAATATTTATAATAACAAAGGAAGTAACTAAATGTTTATAAAATAGAGGAAACTGCTTAACTGGTGGTACATTCGGAATTATTATGCATATTATGCATATTACATGCAGCCATCCGAGTGGACTTCAGGTAAGTAAACATGCTGACAAAGTCATATTAAGTACAATAAGGTGACAAAGCTATATGCATACAACAATCCCAAACTAGTTAATATTCAATATATGTTTAGGAAAAAAAAAAAAACACTGGGAAAATATACAAAAATGTTAAGGTTATTTCTGGGTTTGGGAATTATGGGCAATTTTTATATTTTTAAAACTCTTTTCCCATTTTAAAAAATTTAAATAATGGTCATATATGTCTTTCATAATTACCAAAAAAAAAGAAAGAAAGTTCTTTTAAGTAATTTTTTTAAAGAAAATCTGTTCTGCTCTCCAGGACTTCTCTTCATCGTTGGTGTTTACCAATAAGTCGCCACTCTAACTCTGGCTTAGGAGCAAGGCTGAGAAGTCTTTGATGACAACCAGTAGGGTTTGTTGCTGCTGTTGCTTTTAATCTTCATGAGCACATTTGGTTCAAATAATCTCTATGGCTGCACCGCTCCACAAATTCCACTGTTTGCTCAAACAGCTTCTGACGGACAGAAACAGGGCACATGGCCTGAGCACAGCAATCGCTCTCGGTGCCCGGGACTCGCCGTGACCACTGGACAGTTCAGCTCCTGGCTTTGTGATGTTGCTCAAACAGCCGGTAACAAGTGCTATGAGCCAGCCAGCTGTTTGGGAACCTGTATGTGGAGAGCTCTCTCAAACCCATGATGGGGGCACTGCGGAGCCAGACACCAGCCCCCTCCCTAGCCCCAAATGTCACAAAGCTGCATTTCCTAAATATTAATGTATATTTTCAACATCTATTCACATTTATATCCAGAGGAAAAGAAACCTGAAACTCAATTTGGACCTAAGGCTGATGAAGAACTGAGAGTCAAGAATGCCCTTATTGCCTCCATTTCCTCATCAGTAAAGAGAGGGAGCTGGATTGGGTTTTCTCTGAATGTCCTAATTGATTGATGGATGTCGGGCCAGCAAGTGCGCAGGTATGCACTAACGTACCAGTGCGGTCATCAGAGCCGCCTAGGTGACTGAGTGTGGAAGGAGCAGCCTGGCTCTATCTAAGCTCCCTCCTCGCAGGCTGGTATGGCCAGGGCGGCACGTACCCATGGTGGCAACAAGCAAGAAAGCTGGTCTGCAGGCAGAGTCATCCCTGCCCCCTTCCAATTTATTAGTAGAAGACAATCTAAGGATCCTTCTAGTCATTATAGCTTGAAAAAATCTGCTTTGGTTTCTTTTAAATAATTTTTAAAAGGACCCACAAATCCAGCAGAAATAATTAGAACTGACATAATCATTCTCACTAATTCGAGGTCCCATTGATTGAGAATTAGCAGATTTGTTTTAATTTAGGATGGAGATATCAATTAATTGACTTCAATGTTTTTTGGGTTTTGTTTTTTTTTTTTAAACAAATGTGCCTGTACTGTATTCTTTTTTCCAGAATCTCTTTCTCACCTAGGACAGTTGATAAGAGATGTAAGAATATACAAGATTAGCAATGTCTCTGATCTAGCATCATTTAAAAATAAAACATAATTCTAACTTCCTAAAAGGCAGGAAGCAGGAGAACAAAGGGAAAAGGCATCCGTATAAAGCACCATAAGCTGGAAAAGACTCCAGAACAACATCGTAAGCTTGCTTTGCACACCTTTCCCCTCAATCCTCTACCCCGAAATGTCCACTCACCTGCCTTTCTTAGGCATCTCGTGGGTTTCTCTTCCTCGCCAGTGCACTCTGCTTTCAGTGGCCAAAATCCACCCCCACCATAAGAGGACGACGCCAGCTTTCATATTCTGGACAGCCAACATGGGTTTCCAAATTCAAAGTTTCTCAAGAAAAAACAAAAAGGAAAAGGCTGTTATTCTTCTCTCTTAAGACATCTTTGGTCTGTTCATTATTAGAAGGATGTTTTATAAAAAGAAAAAAAAAATACAACCCCACTGTATGTAATCTGGAGAGCAGGAGAAAGCAATTTCCGCTAAACCTATAAATCCCCCTACGTCAGATGTCAGGGATTTTCTGAACTGAAGTTGAAGTCCTGTGTCCCTGTCAACAGTCATTTTGACTGGTCTAAATTAGTTCATCGTCAGATGTGGTAAATATGTTAGTAAAAGTCTGTATTTTCTGGTTCAATAAATCAAAGAAAGAAGCAAGTTATAATGAACCAAAGCAATTTCCAAATTGAAAAACGTCAGAGGTGCTGAACTGCTCCGAATGCCACATTAATGTGCTCCTTTCTGCCTCTATTTTAAGCATCCAGCCATCATTATTTGCTTTAGCTGAGGGCTGGATTTGGACAGCTCTTCGCCCCCACTCCCTCCTGTGGCTGAATCTGTGGAATCTCGGGGCTGATACCTGGGCATGCTGTCTATAAATAGCTGATGGCAGGAGGGCTAAAAGGGGAGAGCCTCTTTTTACTTTGTTTCACACAGAAAGAATAAAATGTCCTTGTCAATTGTTTTATTCTTGTTATGAATTTCATCAGACTTTTCACATTTGAAAAATACCAGTCATAAATGAATAATGGCCATTGAGTCTGTGTTATCTATTGTTAAAAATAAGACAAGATGAGAGGGTGGGGGCGGGGGAGATGGAAGAGGGCATAGAGAGGATAAATGATGATGAAAAAAATAAAATAATAAAAAATGTATCAAAAACAAACAAACAAACAAAAAAAAAAAAACAAGACAACAGCCCCTGGCAGGTGTGGCTCCGTTGATTGGGCATTGTCACCTGGTGCCCTGAGAGGTCTCAGGTTAGATTCCTGGTTCGGGCAGAGTTGTAGCTCAATCCCTGGTAGGGGGTCTGCAAGAGGAAGCTCCCTGATCAATGTTTCTCTATCTCTCTCTCTCCCTCTCCCTTCCTCTCTCTTTAAAATCAATAAAGACATGTTTTTTTAAAAATGAGCCAACAGGTCTCAAATGGAGCTATACACTATGTCCCACTTCACCAAGCCAAAAATTAATTCGTTTTGGTTCTCCCGGCAATGGAATCAGGAATTGCCTGATCCCTACTTAGGTCATCTACCTGATAGACCCCCGTGTAGGGAAGGAAAAAAATTTCCTTCTTCCCTTCCAGGTTCTTTGGTTGGTCTAATAATTAAATTGACACAAGACATTTTAACAGGGGGAAAATTTTTAGTTTCATATATACAGGAGCCCCATAAAAAGATGAGACTCAAAGAAATGACTAAAGCAGGATGCTTCTATACCTTTTAGACAAAGAAAAAATAAATTTGTGAAGAGTTGACAAGACAAAGAGATTTGAACTTGGGACAGTAAATTATGAAGAAGTAACAAGGTTTGTTTCTTGGTCCTAAATTCCCTATCTCTGGTGCAGCGAGGGTACCTCTCCATGGGATATTGATTTCCTGCTTTCAGGGGTACAAAGGAAGGTCAAAGTGTCCTTCTTGCACTGGTAGTTTCTCAGGTAACTTTAATTCAAAATAGTCAATATATTAAAGTGGCATATATTAAGGGGTTGATATGTTCTGTTCCCCTTCAGTTGTAAAAATCAATTATGCAATTAAGGTCTTGCCTAGAATGTCATAGCTAAAAAATGATGCTATTTAACTAGGTGTAAAACACCTAGTTTAAAGAACATGGAGTAGTAGAAATCAATAAAGATGTGCTGCATGAATAGATGTTTATGTCTAGATTCTTTTTTTTTTTTCTTGGTATGTGCCCCTAGCGGGAACCAACCCAGGACTCTCTGGTCTGCAGGCCAACACTTCAACTGCTGAGCCAAACCAGCCAGGGTTAGATTCTTTTTTTTTATCTGCATGTAAATATTCAATTGTTCTAGAATTATTTCTTGAAAAGGCCATCCTGTCTTTATTGAATAGCCTTTGCTCTTCTGTCAAAGATCAGTTGTCTATATTTATGTGAGTCGCCCTGGCCGATTTGGCTCAGCGGTTAGAGCACCGGCCTGCGGTCCTGAGAGACCCGGGTTCGGTTCCCGCTAAGGGCATGTACCTCGGTTGCGGTTTGTCCCCGGCTCTGGTCAGTCGTGCAGGTGGCAGCCACTCGATGTGTTCCTTTCACATAGATGTTTCTCTCTCTCTCTCTCTGTTCCTCTCTCTCCCTCCCACTCTACCTGAACAAAAAATGGAAAAATGTCCTCGGGTGAGGATAAAAAAAAAAAAAAAAAGAGTATATTTATGTGAGTCTATTTCTCAGATCTCCATTCTATTTTATTGATCTATTATCTATTCTTCAACAATACCACCCTGTCTTGATTACTGTAGCTTTATACTAAGTCTTAAAGTGAGGCAGTAGCAGTCCTCCAAATTTGTTCTTCTTCAATATTGTGCAGACTACTCTGGATCTTTTACCTTGCCATATAAAATTTAGAATCACTTTGTCAATATCCATGAAATAACTTGCTTGGATTTTTATTGGGATTGCATTGAATCTATAGATCAAGTTGGGAAGAACTGGTATTTTTTTTTTCTTTCCTTTATTGATTTTAGAGAGAGAGAAAGAGAGAGGGAGAGACAGAGAGAAACATAGATGAGAGAGAACATCAATTGGCCACCTCCTGCATGCCCCACACTGGGGATGGGGCCCACAACCTGGGCATGTGCTCTGACTGGGAATCGAACCAGCAACCTCTTGGTGTATGAGTTGACACTCAACCACTGAGGCCACACTGGCCAGGCTTTTTTTCTTTTTTCTTTTGCAGTGCTTTGCACATGCTTTGACTTGCTGTACTGCAATCTTTTGTTTGAAGATAATTCTTCTATAAGATAGATCCATCTAGGAAGAGGAATAAATAAATATTTGTAAAGTGCTGTGTCAATGAGATAAAAGAATAGCACAGAAATAATATGTAAAGGTGTTCTCAATAAGTAACCCATGGGAAACCAGTAGATAGTTTAAAGTAAAAAGTAGTCAAAGGTCGTGGTTCTTAGTCAATATTTCTGACTAGCAGACTGAAGACCACTGGGTGGCCTTGGGGAAACTGAAGGGAGTCCATCAATGCATATAGGGACTGTATCTGAAAAATATGGAGGCTTAAGCTGGCTTAATAAAAAATGTATTATCTCACAAACAAGAAGTCCAGGCTTGTTTGATTTAGTGGTGTCATCAAAAAGCCATCTTTCATGTGTCCTTTTCCCTCTGGCCGTCTTATTCGTGGTTGCAATATGACTGCCAGCAGCAACAAGTGTCTTCATTTGTATCCAGTGTGAGAGCCAGAGGGCAAACCTCTTCCCAGCCCCTTCCTTCTGTCTGCCTGGGCCAAGGAAGGTCATCTAAGTCCACCCCTGGACCAGTAAGCTTCATCAGAGAAAAATGTGCCCAGATTGGCTTAGACCAGCGATTTTCAACCTGTGTGCCGCCATAGTTTTTAAAACGTGCAACACCTGACTATTTAGTCAGGCCTTTTCCCTTAGATTGTCAAATGAAAAGATGACAACAGCCAACACAACAATAGCTGTCTGGTGTGAATGAATCAAAAGTATACTTTTTTTTTGTCAGATTGGCAAAATATACATATGTGGTCTATCTTTTGGTGTGCTGCAGAGTGTAGTGATCAGTCTAAGTGTGCCATGAGATGAGAAAGGCTGAAAATCACTGGCTTAGACTAATCAAGATTCCCCTGTGGACCGGGGCCAAGGCAGGTGCTTGAACACACCCAGGGCTCAAATTCAGGGGGGAGGAAACCAGGGTGAATGCTGCTCAGCCACCACCAGTGCCCACCACAGGTGTGGAGCACCTGGAGACTGAATTCATGGCATTGCCTTTGCTGCCGTTTCCAAGGCCCCTGTGTCTGCGGTGAGCCATAAAACACAAACCCATTTTGCGTGTTTTGGAGGGCAGCTGAATTCATAATGGTCTTTAGCCATGTCTTTTCTCCACCCAGAGACAGTAAATGATGATGAAAGTCACCTAATTGGAAGGAAGGAAGGAAGGAAGGAAGGAAGGAAGGAAGGAAGGAAGGAAGGAAGGAAGGAAGGGAGGGAGGGAGGGAGGGAGGGAGGGAGGGAGGGAGGGAGGAAGGCTTCTCGTGTTGTAAACCTTCGAATTAAATGACAGTTTTTGTAGGAGAGTCCATGCAGCCCTGTCTCCCTCTGCTGGAATCAGAACAATTGTTTAAGGCTACTTCTCATTCATTTCCAAGTGTGTTTTTAACAAACACATAGGAGTCCAGGTTCAAATACAACTTCATAAGGAGTCCCTGAGTTTCTTGTTGATGGAGTTTGATCTGCTTGTGACGATCCAGGGGAACCCCTGCGGTAGATACTGTGGAGAGAAGGGGAAATGCTAAGAGAGCATCTGGGCCTAAAGCCACAGATTGGGGTCCTCTAGGAAGGAAGAGGGGGTCCCCTCAGCAGCATTACATGGGCTGAGGGCTGAATACAAAATACAAAGACTTCTTTTGTTGCCCCCAAACAACCCAACTGCTACTGAATAACAGCAGCACTTTGCAATCAGATGGTTCTTCGGCATTTTCAAAACATTTTCACATCCTCAGTTCCATTCGGCTTCAGAACCAGCCCTGGAAGTAGGCACTTCATCAGTGAGGAACCTGAGGCCCCAGACATTGATGTATTTTACCCAGGACATGTGGTTAATAAACAGAAAAAGTCCTGCCTTTGATGCCAGGGCCCGTGTTTTCCCGTCGATTCTGTACTCCTCCCCCTTCCTGAAGTGACTGGTCTGTAAATGATTTTATTTGTCACCCAGTCTCTTTACTTAACATGTTGTCCAAGGCATTTAGATGACAACTCAAGTCTTTTTGTTAGTTAGTTCCAGATTATTTCCTGCTAATCAGAGGGACTGGTTCATCTGAACGAAACAGAAGCTTTTTGGCGATGGTAAGAATGAATTCTTGGAGTGAGAAGCCACGTTTGGAAATGTTGAACTCTCGAAGAAAAGAAAGAATGTAATTAAAGTTTATAATAAAATACACAACAAACTTAAATTGAACTCATGGGCAAATGTACAGCAGAAAAGAAGGACCGTTTAATGTCTGATTAATTTTTTAT